CACCGAATGAAATTCAGAACGTTGTCTGGTGCTGATGGAAGAACAGTCGCGATGGGAACGTATCTATTCTCTATCACTTGCCCAGTCCAATTCGCAAGGTCGACGCCATCGCGACTAGTTCATCCCAAATTCTAACCTTAACATGGACGCGGTGAGCATGCTGCTCGGCTGAGGCAGCTGTTGGAGGAAGTCTATTGATTTGAATGGAAATTTTTTCAGCGATCATAGCTTTGTACCTTAGGTACCGGACTTTAGTTGTGACAATACATTACACAGAATAACCTTTCTCCAGCTTCAGATACTTCGGACTGGAAACTTCCAGGTGAAGCTATTGTCTAGCTTGCTTCCTGAAAGATATCACTGTTCGTATGTTTAAGAAGTCCCAATTCACAGCATCCGAAACAACCAGAAGTGGTATCACACCCAGACCAGGCGTGAATGAACAATAAATTGTCTAATACAGTTTTATCCATTGCGCTGCAGACTGATTTTATGTCATAGGTGTTGCGCTTTTTGTCCAAGTGGCAAAGATGAATTGTCGCCATTTCTGGTTTCGCGTGGTGCAGTAATGAGACCAAAATATCTGTGTCATTACAGGTTGACCATTTCTAGCGTAGTCAATGCACGTCTTCGTAATAGTGACATCTGCATCACCATTATACCATTTTGTCGGGACTCCATGGGATTCAAGATCGTTGACTACCTGATTGATTAGACGGATTTTGTTTTCAGTGTTGGCCAGAAACTGGCCTTGACTATAGATAACTGTGGTGTCCGATTTCAGAGAAATGTCACTGTTCCTATATTTAGACGTAGCAGCTCGGCGCTCGTGCTCATGATCCTTAATATTTGGTTCATAGCCGTCGAACACGATGAATATCTCCAACATCTTAGAAAACTATCGGTCATTTGTAAAAAGATTTCCCTCGCCAATCGTCGTGTTTGGTTCATAGCCGTCGAACACGACGATTGGCGAGGGAAATCGGGCACCAGAGAAATGTATACGGCTTTGTGCTAAACCATCGCTTGGAAAACATATCCAGAATATCGGGAAAATATATTTCTTACCGAAAGCATATACTCGTTCTTTCAGATAAAAATAAGATTAGATGATCAAACATTGATAATACAAGATGTTTTGTAAATAAAATATCTAAAAGATAATAGAAGATATAAATAGTTAAAATAAAGAATGTCATTATTGGACTCTATAGTAGAGGGGGTTCATCATGAAATCGGGGGGATTGGATGGCCGAATGGTTATCACGTGCGCGCTGTATCATACGGTCTGTCATTGAGTCAACTGGCGGAGTTTCGTTTCCCCGGTTGTGCGTGACAAAGAGTATGGTCGCCTGTCCAACCTCGTAGGTTTTCTCCGGGTCCTCCGGTTTCCCCCCACTACAAAAGACCCCTACGCGCAAGCGAATTATTGAAATAGAACTGAACATAGTTTGTGTCGAGTGGACGTTAAACCCAATTTCTCTTTCCCTATGAAATCAATAGAAATTACTGTAAATTCGGGATGGCAATAATTTTATTGTTGGGCTAATATACTTTTTTAATTTTACATTTTAATTGAAATATTGTACAGCTAATGGGTGATACTTGGCAATACCACCATGGATATCTCTATGTCTTAATCCAACGCAGTTCAGGATTTCAAAAGGTGATGGAACGCCATATCAAAGCTAAAAAGTAAAACGTGTGTAAACTTTACACATGTACGTCGAGTTCTATATTTAGAAATTAATTTTTGAAGAAAGCATTATAAAATATGGAAGCTATTTCTACAATGTGACAAAACAAAATTAAACGATTCTCTTTAACTGGGATTTTAGTTATCTATATAACTGATATCTTATAAGTCAACAAAAGTTTCAGGTATATCTTCGTGGATTTTGCAATCCCGGGGTGTGAATTATTGTTTTATCTTTTGTTGATTAGCTGAATAAATATAGGTTTGTTTGATTGGTTGAATATATCGAATTATTTATTGACACAAGTGAAATGGTTAGGTTAGGTTTTATAACAGGGGCAAAGTCAGAATATATATTGTCTACCTATTTAAGAAAAGAACACCACCCACCACCATTTAGACGTAGCAGCTCGGCGCTCGTGCTCATGATCCTTAATATTTGGTTCATAGCCGTCGAACACGATGAATATCTCTATCATCTTAGAAAACTATCGGTCATTTGTAAAAAGATTTCCCTCGCCAATCGTCGTGTTTGGTTCATAGCCGTCGACCACGACGATTGGCGAGGGAAATCGGACACCACAGTTATCTATAGTCAAGGCCAGTTTCTGGCCAACACTGAAAACTGTATTAGACAATTTATTGTTCATTCACGCCTGGTCTGGGTGTGATACCACTTCTGGTTGTTTCGGATTCTGTAAATTGAGACTTCTTAAACATACGAACAGTGACATCTTTCGGGAAGCTAGCAAGACAATAGCTTCACCTGGAAGTTCCCAGTCCGAAGTATCTGAAGCTGGAGAAAGGTTATTCTGTGTAATGTATGGTAACAAAAATGAGATACCTCTGACTAAAGTCTGGTACCTAAGGTACAAAGCTATGATCGCTGAAAAACATTTCCATTCAAATCAATAGACTTCCTCCAACAGCTGCCGCGGCCGAGCAGCATGCTCACCGCGTCCATGTTCAGGTTAGAATTTGGGATGAACTAGACGATGGCGTCGATCCTGTGAATTGGGGTTGGCAAGTGATAGAGAATAGACACGTTCCCATCGCGACTGTTCTTCCATCAGCACCAGAAAACGTTCTGAATTTCATCCGGTGTAAATGTAAATCGTTGAAAAACCAATGCTCGTCACGTTCTTGTACAAAGAATGGTTTGAAATGTGTTGAAGCGCGTGGAGGATGCCATGGGGAGGGTTGTCTGAATAGCCAACAAATCAGCATCGATTTAGAAGATGAATTTGGTACGGGGCAGAACAAATCAGAACTGAAGAATATTTTGATGATTTTATTGATGATGACCCGAATGAATATTTTATGGTGTCCAGAATGTTCCTCTTGTCTATTTGCTTGCTGTTATTGCTTTATTCACAACACGTCTCCGCCATTTTGAATTTTGACATCACAGTGACGTCATAGTTCCGCCATTTTGTATTCTGACGTCACGGTGACGTCATACGTTACTTTTGACATCATTTCTGGAATCCTTGGTATCACTTTCCTATATGTTGATAATACATTTCTAGGGTGTAAAATTGATATTTTTGAAGTTATCAATGGTTTTCAGTTTCATTATGTTGACCCAGGGGGTCAAAATTTCAAAATGCTGTAAAAAAATTTGCTCAACACCGATCGGCGGGGAAAATCTTTCTGGAACACTAGGGACATAGTTGTTTCAGAAAATGAAGAAATCAATTGGGTAGGAATTTCTTCCCACAAATTTTCTATCTCGACCAGACTATTAGAGCAGGAGCCCAGGGGGTTAACCTAGCTGAAAAGTGTACCAATGTTCACCTATATGGTATCAATGTATGTATATCTGGTACCATCAGAATGTAAGTCTGCCGGGTTTCTGGTGGTGGGTGTGGTATTCCACGCCCAGAATGCCATGCCCCCCAACTAGTCTAGAGTAGCTCAAAAGTGTACCACATGAAAATCGCACAGCAATGTACCTTACATCTTCAGGTATTACAAAAACACTCTGACAGACATTTCTAGTGGTGGGGTACCCCTGACAGAGCTATGTAATTGCCAGACATTTGTAGTGATGGAGTATCCCTGGAGACTCCATTTCGCCCGAACCAGTAAAGTCTTATTAAACAATGCACGCGCCATTGAGCCAATGATTGGCGCCGCGTGCTGAGACGTCACGTGTTGGAGGTAGTCATCGTTTACAGAGACTTTCGGAGGAGTCGGAGAAAACCCACGAGGTTGGACAGGCGACCCTACTCCTTGTCACATACAACCGGGGATTGACTCAATGACAGGCTTTATGTTACAGCGCGCACGTGCTAACCATTCGGCCATCCAACCCCCCGAAAGATGTAGGTAGATTAGTCGATGTATGTTTTTGAATTTATTTTCTGTTTTTTTTTTTTTTTAATGAATTTGTTTTTTTCTTTGTTTGCTATTGAATTTTGTGTCTTTGTTTTGTCATATTTTTATAAAATAGGTCATGAATTTGTTTATTTTGTTTTTTGTATAAAATCGTTAAGGAATTTGTTTGCTTTTTTTCTTATTTTTTATAAAATCGTTAATGAAGTTGTTATTGAATTTTATTGGGTTTTATTTCTGTGTCCACGAGTTTGGGTGTGGACGAATTGACACGCATTTCTTATTTTCATGTGTTATTTAAGAAAAATGATGGGAGCCGCATGACTAAGGCGCTTGATCGTTAAGGGGGAAGTCTCGGGTTCGTTTCCAGTGTTGGCCGAGAAGATTTGTTCAGATTTTCAGGGGTGATTTCTCCATGTCGATTGTGCGGGGCGGAGGGTCTGGCAAATAACCGTGTCTAGTCGTTTAGATGGAACGAAAAAAAAAAAAAAAAAAAGAAATCGCGTGATATATACATGTGGAGTGCACATATGTATCTGACAGTTGGACTTCCTTCGAAATAAGAATAGTCCGCATCGCAGATTTTGGGGCAAACTTTCCCTAACAGCACACTACAATTGTGCATGCCCGTCTTCATTAGCCCAGTCGGTGGAGAAAAGTAGGACGTTAAACCCCAACTAATTTCATTTCATTTAAAAAACGCGCGTCAATGTGGTTAGCGGTTAATTGCGTTATACGTGTTTTATAATGATATAATAAATAATTATAAACGCCAACTGTTCCTACGACACAGTTGCTGGTGGACCTATGCTGTATTTCCGGGCAACCCATATATTCCTTTACATTACTTAAAAAATACGTTCCAAAATTATAATAATTTCATGTCACGTTGACATTTTTGGAGGTGTGTCCCGAAATTATCCGTGTGAGTTATCCTTCTTTGGTGTCACGTGACATTTTACCTCGATTTCAATGGAAAAATCAAGATGGTCGTCGAAAATTTGCAAATAGCTGCCGATGTGAATAGTTGAATTTGTAATGATATTGCAAATAGAATTCCCTGTTTTTTTAACCAAGCATGGCACACGACGAGGTGATAGCGCAGTTACCAGCATTTGAAGATGAATATCAATTCAATATCGATGAAACTGTTAACGAAATAGATTTCATAAACGATGATGAAAACTTGGACAATCTTTTCTTTCACCGAGTCGATTCAGCTCAGATTGTTTATCAACCGAGAAGACGACGTGCCAAACTCATTGGGAAATATTTAATGGGAGAAATGCTTGGTGAAGGCTCTTATGGAAAAGTTAAAGAAGTTCTTGACACCGAAATGCTGTGTCGTCGAGCTGTCAAAATACTGAAGAGGAAAAAACTGAGAAAAATACCGAATGGAGAGGATAATGTTCGGAGGTGTGGTCATTATTTTTATACGGCCGGGATTTTTTGTTTTTACCTCAGTACACACCTGTTGAAATGCAGAAGGCGGAAAAAATCTTGTTAATGCTTTTAACGGATTTTTTTCTTTTTTAAAAATTGCATTTATTGTTCATAGGTCATAATAAATATAGGTCATAATAAATAATAATAAATTCTAATACTAATAGTAATACTATAGGACACCTCTGCAGTTGAGTTATGTTATTGATAAAATTCAAGGGAAGTTCAAAATTGCATAATATACACAGTTATCTTTTGCAGCCATATTTTTACTTTTTAAACAGGACAAAGATAACATTATCGTCCCATAATTTTAATGCTAGCACAGATGACTTTGCTACTGATGGCCTACACTACGTGTAATCGAGACCCCCTCTACCCTGTATATATGCATAAAAGGGTATTCCATAGATAGATGTACCTATTTTTTTTAACTATACCTTTGGTGTGCATGTGATGCCTCTTCATGTATGCAAAGGCGTTTCAGCTTACGGTAATTCTTCTCCCCTTGAACTCACTGTATTACATGTAATATATATGTCGGAAATCACATGCGTGGGCAACTTACTCATCCATCCATCATACTAATTAGTAATTAGAATAAACTTTTTTTCGATGTCCAAATTCTCTTTTACTAAATTTTTGTCACGCAAACTATTTTTCCCAACAATGCGGATGCTTGGGCTTTGTAATAATATTGGCGTATTATGGGGAAACCCCAAAATAATTTACTTTGTTGTTATGCTCATTTGGTATAAATGATGTGAATTTATTTTTTTTGTATCTTTAAAGGGCATTTAGTGAAGGTGATAGCTTTATGGATAACAATCACTGGGTTTATTACATGTAACTGCAATGTTTCAATGAGGGTACTCTTACCATTATCAAGCAATGATACAATATAACACTAACATGTTTTTGTTTTTTTTTACAGAGAGATCAAGTTTCTAAAGAGATTACATCATCAGAATGTTATTCAGTTGGTTGATGTTTTAACAAATGATGAAAAACAAAAAATGTAAGTCGACTCTTATGAAAAGACACAGTGAAAGAATTTTTAATGCCTGATCGATGGACAAAACCATCCCGATTCAGCTATTATGGGCCTGACATACTGTTTTATGAAACAGATACATTTTGCTTGTTACTCTGGGTATAAGTTACATGCATTGAAATTGTAGCACTTTGTTAAAAGTTTTAAACATTTTTTTGTGGTGGTTTGATCATTGGATGGCCGAATGGTTATTGGTTAGCGCCTGCATGCTGTATCTTAAGGTCTGTCATTGAGTCAACTGGTGTGGTTTCAATTCCTGGGTTGTACATGACAAAGAGTAGTTTCGCCTGCCCAACTTCGTGGGTTTTCTCCGGGTCCTCCAATTTCCTCCCACTGCTAAAGACCCCTACGAGCAAGTTAATTATTGAAATAAAATTGAACCATATGTCAGCACCGTAATGACCTAGTTTGTGTTGAGTTGATGTTAAACTCCATTTCTCTTGAAACTTTTTATTTATGAAAGATGTGTTATATAAATAAGACCTAAATCTACCTATTGCAGATCTTTCTTTTTCTTCAAATGTTAAATTAATTATTAACTAGATATTTATTTACATCACACGTCTATAATCAACTCTCTATAACATTGGATGGCCGAGATTTAAATGTATTTTAAACACTTGAGAGGTATAATATCCTAACGATTCAATGGATAATCTAAGCTAAGTCAAGTGTGCCAAGTACCTTTGCTCTATGATAATGAACAATCTCCTCTAGATCTTGTCAAACCTTAAACACTCATAACTTCACTTAGAATAAAGTAATTTGAATGAAATTTTTAACATATTCATTATCAATTTTTTAACTATACTAATGTCCAAAAGAAAGTATACACTGTGCATTTTGTCCTGCTTCAAACAAAGTCGTTTTTCCATTGTATGCGGTATTTGGGTACAATGTCCATTTGTTTTGCCTCTTAACAGATGTATTTTACAAATGCTAACTGCCCATCTATATACCCATCAACATATTTCTAATAGTTCTCTTGCTAATTGGAAATTCATGACATTTACGAATTTAGGAAGTGTAACCTCATTTTGTTTTTACAGGTATATGGTCATGGAATACTGTGTCAGTGAATTACAAGAAATGTTAGAAAGTGTTCCTGATAAAAAGTTTCCTATAATGCAAGCTCATTTGTAAGTTTTTAAGTTATTTGATTTTGTTGACCCTTTTTTGTCACCTGGACCAACCAGAAACTACTGCTTCCTCTAGCTCCTGACCATTACCCCTTCAGCACTTGGATGCACTGAAAATACTGCTGAAGCCATTGCTTCAAACTGATAGATACCCCTTCAGCATATGGACCTTCTGAAACTGCTGCTCCTGCTAGTGCCTTAAACTGACAGATACCTGACCTGAACCTAGCTACATTTAGCTAAAGTCTGCTGTGTTTGACCTCTCACTCACTAAAAGAGAATTATTGAAATACGGTTATACTGTATGATAGTTGCCCAAATTACCTAGTTTGTGCTGGGTGAAAGTTTGGTCTGCCGCTCATACAGAGAATTTAAGTAATCCAATGTTGTTTACTGTTGTGTGTCAGAGTGGTTTGATGCATGCACTTTAGATTATAAGATCTGACATCGAGTCAGGTGGTGTGGTTTCAATAAAGAGCTTTTCTTACTGTATTTATAATGCAACAAATAATTAAGTTCTCAATAGATGGTTGGTGTGTATTTTTAACTCAGCAGGAAGCGCTACCCATTTATTCCTGCAAAAAGCATTGTGTTCATGTTTGATTCCCAGGATTAAATAGTCCCCAGCGTTTCCACAATAAACAATGACATACATTTACATCAATTATTATGACAATCAAGGCAATCTAAAGGGTAATATTTTTTAAATGAGTCACTATCGGTAATTGCATCTGTATTGATTGATATGTTTCACTGTCAACATCTGATATCAGTAAAACCAATAGGAGCTATATATCAGCACATTACTTAATGTTATTCCATATTTTTCAGTTACTTTTGTCAGTTAATCAATGGTTTAGAATATTTACATAGTATGGGTATTATACATAAAGATATCAAACCAGGTAATCTATTATTAGCAACAGATGAAACACTGAAAATAACAGATCTTGGTGTGGCTGAGGTAAGTAATCAAACCTCCCGGAAGCTGTCAGCTCTTGAAGTCATCACAATAATAATCACGAAAACCATCAGGTTACAAGAATTCATTAAATTTCATTTTACATTTTCATTATATTCATACATTCATTTCACATCAAGTTATTAATGATTTAGATTTCACTAATTAATATTACCTTAAATAGTACTAAAATTTGCAGAGAAAATTTTGAGCGTGGACAGAGCTGAATTAATTTTTCATTTCCAACAAGGACTTATTTCATACTTCCACCTGATGCGTACTGTATGTGCAGGAGAAAGTTACTACATGAAATCAATAGAAACCAATAAGACAAATCCCCAAACAAGTTACATAACACATAGACATTGCAGACTGCTGATGTATAAAACTCTCCCTAAAGCTGTCTGCCCGTGCAGAAGAACCACAACGCAAATGGAGTGGGGTTAACGTCCTACTGTTCTACACTGAATGGGCTAATGAACACAGGTACACGGCAGGCACTACAGCTTACTCTTATATCGAATTCGGACTGTCAAGGTTTCTTTTACACGCACGCCAGTGTGTACACTGAACCTCATGTTTTTTTTGTTGTCCCATCCAAACGACTATGCATTAAACTACCTCTGACAACAAGCGGATCGAATCACTGGACCTCCAGGTTAGCGAGCCAACATCTTACTGACTGAGCTACCGCGGTTCCCTGAAACAAAACACACACCCCATGGACATTGCAAGCAAGAAGGAACAATCATAGTGTAAAATCATCAAGTGAAAGGATCCACTATGCTGTACAGCCTTCACCCGAAATGAAAACAAACTCCCAACAAATGCTTAGCCAAGAAGATAATCCCATGGACAAGAAGCATGGGCGTTGCAAGAAAGAAACAATAAAAGTACTTGCATGTATGGAATTAAGCGATCTACAACATTTTCTGAGATTCAAAACGTGTATCTCCTTAATAAAAATGGGTGTGTTTTCGCTTACTTTCAAAATTTAAGATAGAAATGTGGTTGAAAACTAGACTATGGTTGGTCAAAATATCACATTGCCTCCAGTTTGAAGAACAAACACTCAGGGGTCTTATTCACGAAAAATTAAAATATTTTAAGGATTTAGCCTTGTCATTTGCTGGAATTTTAAATCCTAGCACGAATTTCAGCTGTTATCCAATCAAAAGATCACTTTCTAAAAATGTCTTAGTTTACGTGAATAACCCCCAAGTCTGCAAATTAATAATTGTCATTTGTAATTCACATTTCAGGTATATAGAACTATTATGTTTATCAGGCCTTAGAATAGTTTGCCATTGATGAGTTTAAAATCCCATTCAACAAATTATTATAATTTCAGGCCTTGGAGCCATTTGCTGTAGATGATACTTGTAGAACAAGTCAAGGTTCACCAGCCTTTCAACCACCAGAGATAGCCAATGGTCTGGAGACTTTCGCTGGTTTTAAGGTGGATGTTTGGTCCGCTGGGGTCACACTGTGAGTAGTCTCATTCTAACGTTTGATGTTTCCAGATTTACCGTCATAATGTATCGCCCAGCTCAAATATGTACCCTCCTGATCATTTCTATACGCCCACATTGAAATGCTGTTGTATATTGGCGTCCATTGATCTGTCTTTCATCCATAATTTCTTGTGAACAGACTCATTTATCATCCAATATTTTTAAGATTGATGTATGTTGTAATACATGTAAAAGCCCCTTCTGCTCTGATAATTTCTGATTAAAACAGTTTTTTAAGCACATGAGCAACTTCCTATCATCTGCCCACACTGTAACCCGGGTATCATTTAATCTTGTGTATCTAGCACTACTTTCTTTCACATTTGTTTGATATCAAATCTTTGTTTAAAAATTCGCAAAAATCATTTAAAATCACCCCAAATCATCTAATTTGTACTTGTGTCCAGTTTAAAGCTGACCATCCAGGTTTGATAATGAGTGTCCAATTTACAAGTGTTTAATTTCTCGATCACTTTTAAAAAATAAACAACCCAATAGATTATTGATGTATAATGATCAGTTTTTGAACAGTGGTCAGGAAATTAAATACTTGTAAACTGGACACTCATTATCAAAATTAATCGGTCAGCTTTATACTAGAAACAAGTATAAATTTGATGATTTGGGGTGATTTTAAATGATTTTTGCGAATTTTTAAACAAAGATTTGATATCGACCAAATGTGAAAGAAATTAGTGCTAGATACATATAACTATGGGTACATATCTGAATATAAATTATTAAACAATGTTTATATTTTCAGGTATAATATAACTACGGGTACATATCCGTTTGAAGGAGATAATATATATAAATTATTTGAATGTATAGGTAAAGGTGAATATAAAATACCTGATAGTGTTGATCAGTTATTAGCTAGTTTAATCAAAGGTAAGTCATTCTATTATTGGAACCACTGTTTTAAATAATCCTGTTGCAGTTGGTTTTTACATTAGTTTTAACATTAGTTTTAGATGAATGTCTTAACTAAGTTGAATCATGATCATTTTCAGCTTTAGCTAAACAATTTGATTGATTGGTTGAGAGTTTGGAACACAATAGCTCTACTTCTAATTGAGGTAGAATGTTCAAACTTTTTGTAGATGTTTATTATTTTCTGATCATGTTAAGCTGACTGATAAGTGGTTTCATTGTTCAAGAATTAGGATAACTTTGATTCTAACTGAGGGAGAGTGATGAAAATTTCTTTATAGTTTCAATACATCAATACTGTGTTATTGTAATTGGTTTATACATGTTTTAATACAACAATATCATGTTATTGTAATTGGTTTATACATGTTTCAATATGTTAATACCTTGTTATTGCAATTGGTTTATGTCATGTTATTGTAATTGGCTTATACCATGTTATTGTACATGAAATTTGTTTATACCATGTTATTGTACATGGAATTTGTTTATACCATGTTATTGTACATGAAATTTGTTTATATCATGTTATTGTAATTGGTTTATATCATGTTATTGTAATTGGGTTATATCCTGTTATTGTAATTGGTTTATACCATGTTATTGTATTTATAGGAATGTTAGAATTTGATCCCAAGAAGAGATTTACAATAGAACAAATTAGAAAACATGAGTAAGTATGCTGACATCTCATTAATTATCCCCCGCCCTTCAGGAAAGCAGGAGACTATTAAAATGGATCTGTGACACTTTTTGGGCTACAATAACTCTTCTTCTAATTGAGCTAGATTGTTCAAACTTGGTGTAGGTGTTTATTAGGTGAATGCCTTGTCTGAGTTTGATGATGAGCATTTTCTGCGTAGACTAAGCAGAGATACGCAATTTGATTGGTCGATGCTTTGGGACACAATAATTTTGCTTCTAATTAAGTGAGTGATAAATCTTGATGTATAGTTTCATTCCATCAATACCTGACTAAGTTCGATAATGAGCATTTTTGACTCATGTTAAGCAGAGTGATAAGCAATTGGATTTGTTGAAACTTTGGAGCTCAATAACCTTTGATTGTAATTGAATGAGAATGGTCAAACTTTGCGTATATCATTACATCAATACTAAGTTCGATAATGCGCATTTCCTATAGTTTCATTACATCAGTACCTTGACTATGTTCAATAATGAACATTTTATGCATCAATGTTTTGGGGCATGATAACTTGGATTCCAATTGAGTGAGTGCGGTGAAACTTGGTGTATAGTTTCATTACATCAAACTCAGAGTATAGTTTTATTACATCAATACCTTGACTTATAAGAGTAGACCGTAGTGCAAAATTTCCCTCATAGCGTAAGTCTGTGTACATTAGCCCTGTCGGTGCAGAAAAGTAAGCTGTTAAACCCTGATTCATTTGATCTTTAAATTAACACTTGTATATTCCTTCCAAATCCATGCGTGTATTTTAGTTAGGGGTGCCTTCTCAACTTGGTAGGTTACCTCTGGGTACTCCGGTTTCCTCCCATAGAAGAAGTCCCAGAGTGTGTGCTAAGCATAATAAAATAAGACAACTTGTCCGCGATATCACTATAAAGACTAATAGAAGAAGAAGTCAGTCGGGTAGTACGAAAAACCAAAGTCCCACATACATAATTGCATGTTTGTATTAGAACCCTTTGCTGTATTAGCCCAGTTGTTGTGTGCAGAAAAGTAGTTCATTTATTTTATTTCATTTATTTAGTTATTGACTTTTTGTTTACAGTTGGTTTCGTAAGAAGCATCCTGTGTTATTAGAATGGGTGAGATTACCGCCTAAGAGTAAAGACGATGAAGATATCTATCGTAGTATGACCGTATTAGGATATTTAGAAGATCTACATTTCGGTACGCCTAGTGAAGATGAGTTTGATGAACAGCTGGTACCAGAGAGAATTGATATAACCAATCAAATCACTCCAGGTAACGTCTTAAAATGTCTAGACCTATTTGGTTTGATTTTCCCCATATTACCATGCCCATTCTCTGTATCCTTAGCGGTATCGTTCTGTTCTACTCCAATAACTCCTGGGTCCATTCACAGGGTTTTTACAAATTCAAATTATCTGCCCTTGATGATTTCATTGGTCATGTAGGTTGATTCTAGGAACCAATCAAAAAACAGTTAACATACAAGTATTAGTGTCATTGTTTACGTTCACCACAATACAGCAGCTTGTATGCTGGATTATGAAAAAATTTGCAAGAAAGTTAATATCAAGGAAGTGACATGCACACAAAACGATGTTCTAAAATTTACTAACAAAGTTTGCAACAACGATTTGGTGATCTGTTTATGGAATTTTTTTTTGCGTTGAGTAGTCCTGCAACTTTTAGCAATAAAGCTTTACCCACATTTATTGCGTCAAGGCAGGGACTTTGTTGGTCTGCATCCTTTTGTCTAACCCTAGTTACCTCCCTTGAATTAATATAACCAACCAGTTATGTTTACCAAATTTTATGTGCAAAACCGTCACTCATTATTTGAATGCATTAGATACGACTTCTATAGAATGTGTAAACTAAATTATTTATTAAAGATATAATATAATGCTATAATTAATTTAAAGATCAAAAATTCTACAATAGTCTTACATAGGAGGGTTGGGTGGCGGAATGGTTAACTCATGCGCGTTGTATCAGATAGTCTGTCATTAAGTCATGTGGCGTGGTTTCAATTTTATGCTTCTGCGTAACAAGCAGTAGAGTCGCCTGTCCAACCTCATGGGTTTCATCTGAGTCTTCCAGTTTCCTCCCACTGCTAAAGACCCCTACATGCAAACGAATTGTTGAAATAAAATTGAACCATATTTTAGTTCCAAAAGACCTAGTTTGTGTGTCCATTTCTCTCTTTTTATCTCTCTGTTGACCCAATTCTGGTCATTTGTTTCAAAATGGATTAAGAACCCTGGTATTTCTCTTTGTCAGGAATAAAAAAATATAACAGGTTAGTCCTAATATATCTTTCTCGTTTTGATTTTTCAGCTGAGGATGGTGTCACTGTTGAAAATCCAGAAACCATGGATACTAAAGGCAAACCATCAAAAGAAATGAAACCGAAGAAAAGGAAGAAGGGAGCTAGTAGATTTGGTTTTGGTTCGTGTAAACAATCCTGATGTTGGCTGTTTCTTAGGGAACTTGCGTTGGTATATATGTAATAAATCGAAATCGAAAAAAAAAAATGGCTCCAGGTAACCATGGAAATAAACGAACTTGTGGAATCCAGAGTTCAAACCTCCAGATATTTAAACAATAAATTTATAATCAACAGACGGTTCACAGATCAGTTCTGGTACCACCCCTTCCAGAAATATATTTTGATTTTAGACAATTTCCAAAGATCTGGAAAGATTGAGATGCTGTCTGGTGAATTTAAGTTTGACATCGATGTGCAATTTTTTCGAGCATGGGACAAATTTGATATTTTTAAGTGTACACCAAATGGAGTCTTAATCGCCGCTCGCATTCTTGTCTTCTCTTCTCTTTTTATCTTCTTGTGAACAGTTTAGTAGTTGCTGGAATAAACCTTGATGACTGGAATCGGCTCGCTGGAAATCACAGGGTTGTACTAGACGCAGTCAAACTGGTTTATAAAGAGATTAACCTGTGGGAAGTTTTAAAGACTGGAAAACTTTTACCATCAATAGTCACAGATTTCTTTGTGTCTTAAAGATCAAACTTGTATAGTTCTGTGTGCACTCGGCAGCGTTTGGAAAGAGATTTTATCGACCTGTGTGCACTCGGTAGTGTCGGGAAAGGAATTTTATCACCCTGTGTGGACTCATAAGTGTCGGGAAAGGAATTTTATCACCCTGTGTGCACTCAGCTGCTCCTGGAAAGCAATTTGGCATACACATGGTTCTATGTTTCTGTACAACATTGGATTAGTGTGCTAAAGATATAGATCCTAAATTAATCATTTCTAACATATTTTATTACATTTCTCCACTACGCGCTGCACAATCTATTAGTAAGGAAGTTTTTTATGGTGCCAATCTTGACATGACGATTGGACCATGATTTGTGATCGTGCACAATCCGCCTTGTCGTATACAGAAGTTACTTTTGGTGCCAGTGTTTATGTGACGATTGGATGACGATTTGCGATCGTGCACAATTTGCTTTGTCTTGTACTGCAGTTATTTATGGTGTGCATCTTGAGAGGATGATTGGACGAGGATTTGTGATTGTGCACACGCACACACAAGACCGCTAGAACATAGCTATATTTAAACGTACTGTAGATTTTATTTGTAATTGGTCAGAAACATATCTATTAAAATATTTCTGTCTTTGAATGAAGAGTTCTTTACCATGATGCAACTACATGTATAAACGCCATTTCAGCTTTTGCTTTTTCAAGACCTAATAAATGTTTGTCAAATTTTAAATTTTCTGTGATCAACATCATACGTCTGTCTGCCCTGTTGTCATTAACCAGAATCTGTGTGGTTCGATCATCATATTGTGGGAGTCATGGTTGCTTGGTGGCTGTGTCACACTGACTAACTAACCAGGACCGGGCTGGTTTGATTCCTGTATTGTGGGAATCACGGTGACTTGGTGGCTGTGTCACACTAACCAGGACTGGGCTGGTTTTATCCCAGTGTTGTGGGAGTCATGGTTGCTTGGTGGCTGTGTCACACTGACTAACTAACCAGGACCGGGCTGGTTCGATTCCAGTATTGTGGGAATCACGGTGACTTGGTGGCTGTGTCACACTAACCAGGACTGGGCTGGTTTTATCCCAGTGTTGTGGGAGCCACGGTGGCTTGGTGGCTGTGTCACACTAACCAGGACTGGGCTGGTTTTATCCCAGTGTTGTGAGAGCCACGGTAGCTTGGTGGCTGTGTCACACTAACCAGAACTGGGCTGGTTTTATCCCAGTGTTGTGGGAGCCACGGTGGCTTGGTGGCTGTGTCACACTGCCTCACTAACCAGAACCAGGTTGTCACAGTGGCTTGGTGGCTGTGTCACACTGGTTGGTTTGTTTTCTGTATTGTGGCTGTGTCACACTGCCTCACTATCCGGGACCGGGCTCGTTTTATCCCAATGTTGTGGGAGCCACAGTGGCTTGTTGAGTGTGTCACATGGACTTGGCAGGTTCGATCACAGTGTTTGCCAAGACAGTTCCTCAGAATTTTCCAGTCTTGTTTCCACCAGTTAGTGGGGCTGGATGGAGGTTCTAGATAAAAAGATCCTGTGTCTGCCACTGGCAGCACGTTAAAGTTCTCCTGATAGTTGGAACTTGAAATGAGAGTAGGCCATAACGCTGCTGTGAGGAGAAAAATTTAACCTTGTTGCATTTGGTTCCGATATTTGAAAGAGAATGGTCTTTCTTCCTACAAACCAACCACAGCTCGTATGCCTCCCAGTATCAATGTATAAGTGTCTGTCTTAACTAGAGTTATGGCCCTTGTTCACTTTGTATAAAGTTATAATCTGATACATGTATGTTAGAAATTGATATGCTTTCAATTTCAATAATTTCTGTTCATAATTGCTTGAGTTATGTCCCTTGCTACAGAAGTTACATGTATATTCCGACCTGGTGGAAATTGATGTGCAAAAATTTCTTTTACATGTATTTACTGTTTTAGAGTTATTGCTCTTGTTCAGCTTGTTGAAAGCTCATCCAATCTTTTTGAAATGTATTGATGTATTGTTAATATTAGTCAAACTAAAAATCCAATTGAATTTCAACAATTCATGTTAACTAATTTTAGTTTTATATAAAAATATTTATGGCTATGGTTAATCTTGTTTTAATTTGTTAAATGGCTGTTGATTGGTTGTTTAACTGGTTAATCTTGTTTTCATTTATTACATGACCTTTGATTGGTTGTTTAACTTTTTGTTAAAAATCGGTGTTGATCTTTCATAGAAAAGGGAGTCCAAGTCTTTTGAATGAACATGTCGTCCCCTGCCTACCCCCACTCCCCACAGAAATTGACACTCAGTCTATTAAGGCCAGTGTTGATACATGTATCTTGTAGAAAAGGGAATCCAGGTCTTCTGAAACAAGATGCCATTTTCTGCCCATCCCCAACAGAAACTGCCGCTCAGTCCAGTGAAGCCGGTGTCTATCTTTCCTAGAAAAAAAAATCCAAGAGTTATGAAAGTAGATGTTGTCCCCTGCCCATCCCCCAAGGACCCCCCCCCCCCTCCCACTAGGCAGATGTTTGTCTTTTAAAGAAAAGGGAATCCAAGTCTGAAAGATAATGCCCCTCCCCCTCTTCCTCCTCCTCACAGTGAGCAAGTAGCTGGCTCGTTTAATCAGGAGGTCTTGAGTTAGCTTCCGATGTTGGATGTGAAAGTTACTCAGAATTTTCTGTTGTTGGATTTCCCTTGTTAGTGGTGCCTGACAGAGGGCTTAGCAAGAACATTGTCTAGCTGTTTGGATGGGACAAAAAACTGAGATGCCATGCACATTGACGTGCATGTGAAAGAACATTTGACAGGTGGAATTCGAAATAAAAGTAGGCAGAAGCGTGCTGTCTGGGCAAAATTCCCTTCATAGCATACTGTATGGCATTTATCAATGTTCATTAGCCTGGTTGGTGCAGACCAGTGGGACGTTTTATTTGTGGTGTCTATTGTGTTATGGAAAGGAACTCTTCAAATATAGATCTGATATTGTTTGTATCACATTAACGTTACGTATTGTCGATTTTTTCTCTGTAAATAAGTAGAAAGTTATTTTGTGCGTGAAAAACTCTAAACTTTCTGGACGTTCAGCTAGTAAAAAATATTATAACGCACAATGAAAGTTAGTAGGCTTCTTATATTGGAATATGTAAATTTGGGGGATATTTGCAGACAATTAACCTTATTAACTAGGGTGAATTTGAACCTGAAATGAAATGAAATGAAATGGGGTTTAACGTCCTACTGTTCTGCTCCTAACCTGGGCTAATGAAGACGGGCATACGCCATACAGTGTGCTATGAGGGAAATTTTGCCCGAACAGCGGCACTACGGCCTACTCTTATATCGAATTCCAACTGTCAAGGGATCTTTTACGTGCACGCCAATGTGTACACGGGACCTCGGTTTTTCGTCCCATCCGAACGACTAGACAGCTTTCCTTGTCAGCCCCTCTGTCCTGCATCACTGACAAGTGAGAACCACGCCGGAAAATCTGGATGAACTTTCTCGGCCAATGCAGGGATCGAACACCCGACCTCCAGGCTAGTTAATCTCACTATGACATACATGTACATGTAAGAAAACTAATATGAGAGAGAGAGAAATGGGGTTTAACGCCCATTTTGGGCCTGACAAATGATTCAATATTTATTTCAATAATTTGCTAGTGGGAATACCCGGAGAAAACCCATGAAGTTGGACAAGCAACCCTACTCCTTGTCACGTACACGTGGGGATTCAAAACCTCGCCACTTGCCTCAATGCAATGACAGACCATGTGATCAAACGTGCAGGCTTTAATCGCCCCCCCCCCCCCCAAACTCCACTCCAAAAAAAATCCAACAAACTTCTAGTACCCTATTGACAAGGAAATGACAATCAGTGGTGTTGAAGATGCATTATGTAAGATTAAGATAAAGAGCTGACTGTTCTTGCTATAATAGTTGAAAAATAGATAATGCAAAATGAATATATTGAAAATTTCATTCAAATTACTTTATTCTGGGGACTGTTTAAAGATGTAGGTTAGACCGTTTATTATGGTAGCAACGGCACGTGTCAAGGAGTAGGGTCGCCTGTCCAACCTCGTGGGTTTTCTCCGGGTCCTCTGGTTTCCTCCCACTGCCATAGACCCCTACGCGCAAGCGAATTATTGAAATAAAATTGAACCATGTGTTAGTCCCGAGGTGACTTAGTTTGTGTTGAGTGGACATTAAACCCCATTTCTCTCTCTCTCTCTTTTATTATGGTAGCAACGTCACATGTCAACTAAGAATTAAGTCTCGATTATCCATTTTATCTTTAAAATTTTAAATCTTGTGGTTGTTCAAATAAACTATTGGAATGGGATTTAACGTCTATGATCTACTCTTAAATTGAATTTAAACTATCAAGTGTTCTTTTACGCCAAAGGGGGATTGCGTGGCTAAGTGGGTAAAATGCTGACTCGCTAGCCTGGAGGTTGGGTGTTCGATCCCTGCATTGGCCGAGAAAGTTCATCTAGATTTTCCGGCGTGGTTTTCCCTTGTCAGTGATGCAGGATGGAGGGCCTGATAAGGACAGCTGTCTAGTTGTTCGGATGGGATGAAAAACAGAGGTCCCGTGTACATATTGGCGTGCACGTAAAAGATCCCTTGGCAGTTGGAATTCGATATAAGAGTAGGCCATAGTGCCGCTGCCCGGGCAAAATTTTCCTCATAGCATACTGTATGGCGTATGTCCGTCTTCATTAGCCCAGATTAGGAGAAGAACAGTAGGACGTTAAACCCCATTTCATTTCATTTTCATTTCATATTACGCCAATGTGTACACAAGAACCCAGGTTTTCGTCCCATACGAGAGAGTCCCTTGCCAAGGTTAAAGATAAATTGCTTTGTGAACGGGGACAGTAACTAGACCACTGTCTATTGGTATCACTAGTTTGTCGTAATGCTTTGACATATTAATATATATTTGGTGTAAATATTATATATAAATATATATATATATATAGATGTATGTAATGAATTTAATTATTCCAGCGACCCTTTTCACTAAACACTGTAAATATAAAAGTTATAGACCTACTTAACTACAAATTTGTCAATGAAAACTTTTGCAGGTGTTGATAGTTGTCACCCTCGTTCGTCCATCTGTCTGTGAGGAATCTGAAGCAAGCGATCATAGGGAATGACAAAATTGTAGAATTTCGGCATACCTTAGAGTGCCAAAAGTTTGTGATTTTGTATTGCCCCCACTGCTTCTTATTTTATTTTTTACTAAGCAAAGGGAACTACTACTCGCTGTACTAAAAATGCCTGATGATTAAAATTTGTATGCGTTGTTTATATGAGGATGTTGACGACATCGATCGATTTTTACACATTTCCAATAATTACTTTTATTATAGGGGGGTTGGATGGCTGAATGGTTAGCGTGCGCGCGCTGTATCATAAAGTCTGTCATTGAGTCGACTGGCGTGGTTTCGAATCCCTGGTTGTACGTGGCAAGGAGTAGGGTCGCCTGTCCAACCTCGTGGATTTTCTCCGGGTCCTCCGGTTTCCTCCCACTGCTAAAGACCCCTACGCGCAAGCGAATTATGTAAATAAAATTAAACCATATGTTAGTCCCGAAATGACCTAGTTTGTGTCGAGTGGACGTTAAACCCCATTTCTCTCTCTCTCTCACTTTTATTATATTTATGTGGTATAGTGGAGATAGGTGGTAAAACTAAATCCTTGTGTTTACACATTAAGGAAGGGTGGTAAAACTAATTCCTTGTGTTTACACATGGGTGGGTGGAAAAACTAATTCCTTGTGGTTACACATTAAAGAAGGGTGGTAAAACTAAATTCTTGTGTTTACACATGGGTGGGTGGTAAAACTAGATCCATGTTTTTACTCATTGTGGATGGTGGTAAATTTAAATCCATGTGTTTACTCATTGTGGATGGCGGTAAACCTAAATCCATGTGTTTACTCATTGTAGATGGTGGTAAACCTAGATCCATGTGTTTACTCATTGTGGATGATGGTAAACCTAAATCCACGTGTTTACTCATTGGAGATGGGGGGTAAACCTAAATCCATGTGTTTACTCATTGGAGATGGGTGGTAAACCTAAACCCATGTGTTTACTCATTGGAGATGGGTGGTAAACCTAAATCCATGTATTTACTCGATGGGTGGTAACACTAGGCCCACGAGTATAAATCCAATTATATAAATATGATAAGAATGTAGAGACATGAGGGTCATTCTATGACAAATCGCCCACATGGGGAAACCCGTACCCTCCTCGATTTTGCTAAAATTTTGGGTGAATTGTCTATATTCCAAATTTTAGCCTGATCAGACTTGCGGTTGCGGAGATATGGCCATTCAATATTGATCACAAATGCCCGTAGCGCAGTAACTATTCAAAATTGAAATGAAATGTGGTTTAATGTCCTATTTTTCTGCTCTGACTAGGCTAGTTGTTCAAAATTGATGAACTAGATATTGCTGGAAATGTAACGCAACAAGGATTCCAAATCAGTCATTATTTTTGAGACAAGGGTGTTTTAAAGACTGGTCACAGATATTTAAATGACTTGATACGGAATGACCTGTAAGTTTAGTTAAACCGCGAGATACTTTATATATTATACTAATATTAAGTATTTTATTAATATACATTATACATTATGTAATATTAGTATACAGTTATTTGTTATTCGTCATCTAATATAAATAATTTTTATTCTCAGTTAATATCTTTTTTTGACCCGTCCAAATGAAATGAAATGAAATGGGGTTTAACGTCCTATTGTTTTGCTCCTATACTGGGCTAATGAAGACGGGCATACGCCATACAGTGTGCTATGAGGGAAATTTTGCCCGGGCAGCGGCACTATCGCCTACTCTTATATCGAATTCCAACTGCCAAGGGATCTTTTACGTGCATTCCAATGTTTACACGGGACCTCGGCTTTTCGTCTCATCCGAAGGACTAGACGGCTGTCCTTGTCAGGCCCTCCGTCCTGCATCACTGACAAGGGGAAACCACGTCGGAAAATCGGGATGAACTTTCTCGGCCAATGCAGGGATCGAACATCCGACCTCCAGGCTAGCGAGCCAGCGCCTTACTCA